ACCCCAAAACCCCAAAACCCCAAAACCCCAGATTAAATATATTTTATTGCAACTAATAATAATAATAAAATGGAAGCTGTAAGCAACTTCCTCTGTGGCCAATATGAAATTGTCGACAAAATCTTAAATCTTATGGAGGAAAAGGGTGTTTCTCAAACCCTTCTCACAAGTCTGAACCAAGACCAAGGGTTCATGAGGTTCTGTATCGAATGGTGAGCTCCAAGATGGTACTCTCTGCAAGATCAAAATATTGAGCAATCTTTTGATCAAATAAGTACTATTACTAAAAGCATAAAGGCTCATAGAAGGAAGCCAGATGGCTCAGAAGCTGAAGATAGCAAAGACAATGAAGAATCTTGGCTTACACATTTAAAAGAATTTAGCATAAAGTTACTTAATTCTAAAGCAATTAATATCTATGGTATTGAAGACCTATATGATCTTAAATCAACCATGGCAGTTGATTTTGATAATGACATCAAGCTAGGATACATTAATTGCATCAAGCAACTTGAAATCCCATACTTGCCAAAGATTCAGCTAATCTCGGGACATTCTAGAAAGTCTAGGATGAGAAAGTTCTTGTCTAATTCTTTCATCAACAAAACAAATGAGATTTGGATAAGTAACGGGGGTCCATCCATCAGAGAGGTTGAGAATATAAAGATAGAGAAAATATCAAGAGAATTACAACAGATACTTCCAAAAGTTGTTCAAAAAGTGACAATAAACAGCTTTGAGATCAACCAAAAGCAGCTGAGAAGAATATTTTCCCTCTGTAGGGATAAGGAAGATCTAATGTTTTTTAATTGCAAGCTGCTCCTTGATACAGTACCTGACTTATCCAAAGCATTATTAAATTGCAGAATTAGTAGATTAGACTTTTACAACTGCGGACATCCCAAGCTTACCAATTGGGCAAAGGAACCACATTTATTTGAAAATTTGGTAAATGCCCTCTCTCAATCCGAAGATCTCAAGAAAAGCTTAACTCTCATAAAAATCACAAGAAGAAGCCCTCCTGCCGAAATCACCAAAGAAATTTTACAAAAATATCACCTCGACCACATAAATCTATCTCTCTAAACCCCCAAAAATCCATAATTCAACCTATTTCCACTATACAGGGGTTTTGGGGTTTTGGGGTTTTGGGG